TATATATATATATATATATATATATATATATATATATATATATATAACCACCTGCGTGCGGGCTCAAATAACGTAGGTTTTCTTTTAATTGGGTGGTAGCTTTCTGGGAGCGCCCCGCGTCGCTCTCCCCACTGCAACGCCTCCCTCCCCCTCGATTCCTGATTCGATGCAAACATTGGCGACGCACAATTGATGGATGCAACGGATCTGATCAACTGATGACGGTGAGTGGAGTAGAGCGGGCTCTTCTTTTACTTGTGATTTTCTTTTCGTCGATGAAATTTGGGGGAAAACGAAGGGATCTAAGTGAAGGGTTACAAAGGAAGGTTTTTGGTCAATTCTGCCAAGGGTCAGCTCACTTCATTCCCTAATAAAGATGAATTTTTTGTTAGATGTGTTTTGTGTGAGTTTTTGACATAGCAGATGCTCTGTATTCCTGTGCCTTTGAGGGGTTGCTTTCACAGCAGATATCTAGTTTTCTTTCATCTGTATTTATCTTTCCGAAGCTCTTTGGGGCTTCATTTTTATATAATTTGTTGTTTGTTTATGCTCATTTCTAAGGTGCTGAGAGTTAAAAAGCACCCTAGCATTTGGCTTTTCTTTTTGGCTTAGAGGTTTAGGATCTCAGCTGTTGAAAATGAAATTTTCACACAAGGGACTGCTTGCATGTAAGAAATTTGCCTTTTTGTGTTCTTTTGGGCGTTGAAATTGATAAAAGATATATTTGTTGGGGGAGAATCTCTTATCTAGAGTGTCCTCATGTAGGCTTTGTCAGAAATCTGAACTCCTTCAGAGGGCTTTGGTCTAATCTTTGTCGTCTTTGGATTAGCAGATTGCGACTTGGATATCTAGGAGACACTTGCGGTATATTTGCCGAGAAAGATGTACTAGTAGGAAGCTGTAGAATTTTTGGGGGATTCTAGGGTTTGTTCCTTTTCCCGTCAGGAGTTCTACACGTGGTGTTTGAGCTGGAGGCTTTGACACTGATGTATTTGTGTGGAGAAGTTGGTGGATGGACATGCTGACAATGGCATCTCAGGGTGGAGGTGGCGGCTGTGATGGCCAGCATTCTCAGACTCAGGGCTTGTCCAGGCAAGGGTCACTCTATAATATGACCCTCAATGAAGTTCAGAATCACTTAGGAGAGCCCCTACACAGCATGAACCTTGATGACCTCCTCAAGACTGTGTTTGCAGCCGAGGCCAACCAGTTACCAGGTGTGGACCTTGATATTCCGTTAGACCAGTATGCCTCCAGCTCTGGTCTCCATCGTCAGGGAAGCATTACCATGCCACAAGAACTGAGCAAAAAGACAGTGGATGAAGTATGGAGGGACATTCAACAGGGGAAAAAGAAAGGTGAAGAGTTACAGAGATCAGGTCATGAGAGGCAGACGACGCTTGGTGAGATGACACTAGAAGACTTTCTCGTGAAGGCTGGGGTGGTTGCAGAGGGTATTGCAAAAGATGGGAATGATATGATTGGGAATGTGGATCCTGTAGGAAATGCTGATCTGATATCTGGCACACAGGATTTTACACGAGGGACGAGTTGGTTGCGGCAATTTCAGCAGACGGCTACTATGGATCAGCAGATACATGGGCAACAAAGCCTGATGGGGGCTTATATGCCAAGTCGTCCACTTCCACAGCCATTGGGTGCTGGCACTGGGCCTATGTTTGAGGCTGTTTTCCCTGAGGGCCAAATAAATATATCATCACCAACAATGGGTGCATTTTCTGATCCTCAGACACCTGGTAGAAAACGTGGCGGTTCTGAGGACGTGGCAGAAAAATTAGCTGAGAGGAGACAGAAAAGGATGATCAAGAACCGGGAGTCTGCTGCACGGTCAAGAGCTAGAAAGCAGGTGTTGTGCTACTAATTACTCCATCAAACTTGCTTTGCCTTACTCTTATTGATTTTTCTAATGCTATTAGAAGCTGAGAAAAGCTTTAAAGTTTGCTGGAAAGGATTGTATTCTGAACTTATTTATTTTGTTATGTTAGGCATACACTAATGAGCTGGAAAACAAGGTTTCTCGCCTAGAAGAAGAGAATGAGAGGCTGAAGAAGCAGAAGGTAGAACTTTTTTCCCTCTAAAGATTTTTTTGGTGGTTGTTTTGTATTTGGGTGAAGTACATAGTGTTACGTTGCTGGATTCATTTATGAAATTGTGGGTAACACCCGTGTCCACCATTGCACGGGTTGTTTGGCCATTTAGCTTGATGTCCACATACATTAGCTCACTGCTCCCTACTTTCTGTTGCTTCGTCTTCATGTTCTCCCTCACTTAACCTCATAATGCATTTAACAAGCGTATTGCTCTCATCCGGGGTCCTTGCGACTTCATTGTTGTTGCTAGATTCCAAACTCCTCGAACTAAGGGCGACGACCTTGCCCTTGTTCGATCTGGGGTGATGGATTGATGCTATTAATGCATTGAGTGCTTTCTTTTGTAGTTTCTGTTGTGCCCACGACTTTAGGCCATTGAGGAAGCTGAATAGCTTGTCCTTCTTGGACATGTCTTGTATGTCCAACATCAATGTAGAAAATTACTTTATGTAGTCTCAAATGGAAGTGCTTTGGTGGAGTTGTCTCAGCTTCCTTTTTGCTACGAGCTCCATGTTCTTGGGTAGGAACTAAGTTCTCAACTCCCGCTTCAAGTCCGCCCATGTGTCCACTCGACACCGACCTTGTTGGATCTCTTCCCAACGTATTCTCCACCAAAGTTTTGCATACCTTGCTTCGTCCTACTCAATATGTTGTTTATTTTTATTTTTATTATTTTATTCAGTGATATTGAGTGGTAGACTGCCTGGTTTCTCAATGACAGGTTGTTATACCAGTATTTTAAAACCTTAATGTTAGAAATTGAACGGAATTGGTTTGAATTGATAGAAACACAATCAAAATTGGTCGATGTGGCCAATTCTAGTCAATTTGATACATATGAAAGCAAAAGAAAAGGGGTAGGAGAGGAGGATGGAAGAAGTGAGAAATTGAACAGAGGAAAGACAGAAAGAAGTGATTGTGACTGTGAAACAGAGAAAAAACTGCTACTAACGTATTATTTATTAAAATTATTGCATGTCATCTGCCATCATTTTTGTATAGTCCCTTGTCCATACTAGACAAGGGAAAGGATATCGGTAGAACCTTAAAAGAAAGAGGAGATGGAAGAGAATCTTATGACATTTAAAAATATAGGGATGCTATTCTTGAGAAGGAAAATATCATGAGATTCTTAATTAATCTTTAATCTCATGGATACACTGTTAAATTTTTTTATTAATTTGTCCTTGCATTATCCTATACTGCATCTGCATGGTGATTTGAAATGCACTAGGGCCAAAGTGGGACCCATCACTTTCTTCAGCAATCTAAGTGTAGTAGTGTTGAGTATTTTCTTACATTTATTATAGTTATATACTATAATGATATCTTTATTGTACTTAATTAATGTCTTTTTATAAACATGTCATAGATGTTTTCTAGAGTTAGATATTTTCTGAAATATGAAAGTAAAATGAATCTATGTATGTAATATTCTTAGTTATTATAAATTTTCTATTTTTATTTTTTATATTGTTTATTTTTCAACTACTTCTTAGGCGATCTTGGTCCTGCTGATCCAGTTTCAAAGATTTTGCCAATCCAGTTCCCAATTCATATTTTGAAAACTAAGTTAGAAGGCCTCAACCAAATTCACTTAAGACTTGTCTACAACTTGTCCTGCATTGGCTTGCTTCCGCTTTGCAGATCTCATCCTTGAGTTCAACAGGATCTTCAATCATAGATCAGGACCTCATTCATTGCTTGATCTAGTAGCAAAGTACTATGCTTGCACCTCTAGCAAGTGGGCCAATTTTCAGTTCACCATTTGATCGATGAATGTTCTTGGACTGAGAAAACATTGGTGTCTGTGACAATTGCTTCGGTGTCTGACAATTGCTTCTTTGATGGTGGCTCTACTTGGGTGCTTTGCTCTGAACCATTTGAGTGATCTTCAAATTCTGGTTTGTCCTTGGCTCTACTATCATAATCGTCTTTCGTTGTCTCTTAAATAAGATCCTTCTCTAGAACTTGCACTAGTTTTGTCTGAGAATGCTTGTTACAGATTTTAATCATTATTGTCTTTAGACGTATGTCATTCTTTTGTTCTTGAACAAGGTATAGAACATGAGAATATTAATAAAAAGGTCGAGTTGGAAATATCAGTTTAGAATGGATAAAATCTGCCATCATGATAGCACATGCTGCCTGAAACTCTGGTACCAATTTAGTAGATAGCAGATGCACAGGAAGCCTTTACGAAAGATAGAAGAGCATAAATAGACAAGAGAAAGAAACAACCGTCACCAAGCTCAACAAACTAGACTCATAACTTTAATAATTGTCTCAATAACATGCATACATGGCTAACTTTTATGTTCAATATTGGTTACTTTAGTTGTAAGCTAACTGAAAACAACAAAGCAATCTCTACCTAATCAAATCCTAATGTACTTGAACATATTATAAAAGGGTCATAATCTTGGCCTAACTATAAAAGACTTATTACCTTCATATTAAGGACTCTTGAAAAGGAAAATAACATCTTAAATAAAATTGTATTTGATCAAACTTGTAAGCACAATAGTATGTCTCAAACACAATAAATCCGAATGTATTTTTACAACACAAAAATAGGATGAAAATGCATCCAAAGTTAAATAGAATTTGATCTTGACAGAACATGACTTTACCCTTGTTTTAAGCAAAACTTGATCTTTCCTAGCAAAACTCAAAGCAACTATCCTAAACCTTGACTATGACTTCACCTGTTAGAGGACAAGTTGAGTGAGTGAAATCTGATTATATTATGGTATTTCCTAGTTTATTTTATTTTTTGATGAATTCATTCTTTTCTTAGCGGTGTTCAGAAGGTTTAGTAAGAGTACAAGTTGACATATTATTGCATTATGAGTCCAGCTATTGATATAGTTTGCATTGAGAGAGATTGTTGGTCGCAGGGAAGTGTTTTTAAAGTTTAAGACATGTCTTGAAGTTTTGTGGAATTATCAATTATGAATTTTCCAAAATAGGTGATTCCCTGAGTTCTCAGTTCATTTAGGAGTTGGCTAAAGATGATAAGTAAAAAAAATAAATGTTCTGATGATGAGTTAATGAGGATGATTTTTTTCAGTTGTTGGCCTAATTATCTTGTCTGCTTTGATTCTCTCTATTGTATTCTCTCTTTCTTTTTGCTTATTTAGTTTTTAAGTGCATATTTACAAGGTGTTACTGCATTTATCAAATTTTCTTTATTGTATTTTCCCTACATAATTATGAATATTTACAAGATACTGTGCCACATTTCACTTTTTTTTCTTATTATTTTTCTCTCTGAAACTTAAAATATCCTAATCCATATGACCAAGCGATGATGGGAATCTAAATTTTGGTATCATTCTCTGGGTTGGGTCCCATTGCAGTCATTTTTTAGCCCATTTCCTTATCCATATTAAGATCTTCCATATTTACATGTAATCCTTGTCGGTTGGCTGCTATTGTGATTCCTTGATTTGTCTATTATGAAACCAGAATAAAAACCTCCCACAATTCTCATATTTAAATATTTTATTTCTTCAGTTTGAATGAAAGAACTATGTGATTCCTAAGTCTTACCAATTTTGTTTTCCTTTGTCTTAGGTAAATTACTACTATAGTTTTCTCAGGCCAAGCATGTATGTCTACATGTTCTTGACTCGCAATATATGTTACTCGAGTGGTCCTGAATCAGTGTGACATAGCAGATAGAGCTCGAGTATTACCAGGAGTCAAGATTGATCAGTATTCAGAGTGATTCCATGGGAGCAGTAGTTTTTGGAACATGCGAGGAGATTGTGTCTTACAGTGGAATAGATTTGGATGAGCAGTAGATTTTGGAACATCTGAGGAGATTGTCTGAGAGTGGTATCAATTCCAACCTGTATCAGGGGGGTTGTCTGGTTGTTTTGTTTATATATATATATATATATAAAGTGAGGGACTGCCAGTGAAGTGTTTAGGTACTGCTAGGCTGGTACTAGTGCCGAACCGTCATTAGGAGCCAAACAAAGAGATCCAAACAGAGAGGAGAGTAGAGAGATATTTTGTGGTTGGTGATCGAAATTTTTGATCATAGGATCTCTGTGAAGTAGGCATTGGCTGAAACACATCAAAACTATTGTGCAATTTATTCCCACAATATGTAAGATTCACCATGAGTGGAACAAGGGGACTCTGTTTTCTTTGGAACTTTTCAATGAGGTTTCTGATCATATATCCTATATACCAAGTTGTACATGATAAGAAAAACATGCAGTAGAAACACTGGTGAACCGATCTGATTTATTAAAAGCCATAGGAATGATCCTTGATTAAAAGAGTATGTGTAATGAAATCGCTTGTCCTGCTTCTAATTTATAAAAAAAATGTTTTAGCTTAGCTTGTGAAATATTTGTCATGATATTCCTGCAGATCACTTGTCATATGCTGGAGAGTTCCTATCTCCCGCATTGCGATGGCAGTTCCATTTGTCTGCATGCCTGTCACTAATCTTGTACAAATATCTGGCTTCTTTTAATCATTTCTTATCAAGCCTTCACTTTAGCGATGACCGAAAACCTTTAGCTTATCATAAACATTCTCTTCATAGAATATATAGCGAAACTGGGTATGCTATTTTTATTTTTGCTATCGAGAATATCTTTGGACCAATGTTGCACGTAGAGAAACAGTCAAATTTATTTTGTGGATTAAGACTGAACTATGCAACTGTAAGTTGACTTGTTCTTTCTCTAATTCTGCTGCAGGAGTTGGACAGGGTACTTTTCGCTGTGCCTCTACCTGAACCAAGGTATCAGCTTCGGAGGACAAGCTCAGCCCCCTTTTAACCAATTTCATATGAGTTTATTGGTTGGTTAGGGTATTGTTGTTGGTGTCGTATGGAAGACATGGTAGCTCTCTGTTTAGCGTTCTTACTTTAGGGAGTGGGAGACCTGAATGGAGCTGCTGTTGAACTGTGGCTTCTTTATGAGGAGGCTCAGTTCCAGTGACTGAGAGCTTTCATGGTTGTTTTGTAAATTGCAAGACTTAATTCTCTCTTTTTCCACCCCTTCAAATCTAGTAGATAAAACCAAATTTCTGTGTGCATTTGATATATCTCTCACGAATTTTGAAGCACAAAATGCACTGAATCGCTGCAACATTTTATGCTCCACTAGATATTGGCTCTTTATTATACTTACCCATTTTGTTGGGAGTTGCAATGATAATTTCGAACTCGATCAACCTGTGTTGGAAACCAATCGGTATGGGGATAGGGCCATAGGGGATGATATCATTTATCCGCCCTCCCGTTCCATCATAATTGCATTCGAGTCAATTCAGTTGGTAGAGATTTTGACAACTGATATGCCTCCTTCGTAACTGTTATGCCTTCGTAACAGTTATGCCTCCTCTTTGGTAGAAGGAAATCATACAAGTTTTGTCATTATCTTATTGTTGGTGCATCAATTCGTCAAAACTGACTCGATGTGACTAACGTTTCAGCAGGACATGTTCAACTATTTATCGTGTTCTAACGAAGCTTTGCCTGAGGTGACTTGATATTGACCTCAAGACTTTCTGGAAATTAGATAATGTCTAATGTAGAAGAAGAATCTTCAATTGGATAATGTCTAATGATCATTATAGAAAATTGAGCATAATAAGTTCAGATATGATGTTAACACGACAGTTGTTGATCGTTACAGAAATTTGAGCATTGATGTTAAATTGAGCTATGATGTTAATCCATATCTAGTGATCGATAGTTGAATAAGACATTTATTAAATAATAGTACACGCATTTCACATTTACTACATCCCCCAACCCCGTCTCTATCGAAGACTCCATCTCTCCCCTCCTTCCCATGTACTTTCCCCTCCTCGCACTTGTTTCTACCCCCACGTGTTTCTCAACCGACCTCCTAACGGTACCGCAGCCTTGGTTAGCAAAGTACTCACGTCCCACAACACCAAGGTGGCGCTCATACACTAACCTACGGCTTTTCTCCTCAGTTGGAGAACGGAGATCAAGAAAATTAACATTTCAATTTCCTCGCCTTTCGATGACAGTCCCACAAATAACTGATGCGCTCACTGTGGATGACCAAATGATACAGTTCTCTAATTTAGACGAATAACAATAATAAATTCATAGTAGTTTGTAATTGCATTTTAAAAAGGTGGCAACTTTGTAAGAATGGAAATCTCGATAACCACAAGTAGGCTGTTTGCACGTACAACTTTTTTGTGGCTATACCCATACAATCTTCTGTTTCATTTGAAATATACCCACCCACTGTTGATTTCATATACAAGACAAATAAGCTACCAATAACAATGGACAACACAAAAAGAAAACCTCAAGATCTATTCTTTATTGATGCCAAGGTAAAAATTAATATTTACAATTCAATGCTCTTGCACATACATTTACTATATCTAATAATAAATAGTATAATACTATATTAGTTTATACATCAATCACTAGCTATGGTCTCTTTATCCCACAATTAGTATTTTTCAAGGGAGAGAGCCAAATAAATGAAAGGATGCTTTGTTTGGTGAAGAAACATATCATGAAAACTATAAAACTAATGATAAAATATAGAAAGAGGGTGAGAATCTAAAAGCTGTATACATGACTAATTTAGCTGCAATTGTCAAATTAAGTTAGAAGAGAGCAGATGCATGGAGTAATAAACCACAACAGTAGCTTAAGTATATTGAATCAGATGACTTGAAACAGTCGAAAAAGCCATCAGAACTAGAAAGATCTCACCAGGACCTCAGTTTTGATACCACATTCAAGTTGGCAACTAACTAATACTGTTTGAGAAAGATGACAAGAAATCTCAACTAATGGTCGAATCTAGCAACAATTTGAAACCAGCGTTAGAACAATCAAAACAGTCGGAATTGCCTGCCAAGATAAGTGCATGATTAACCATATTGAACCCTGACGGACATATGTATACCAATATCCACTCACTTCTATCACTGTTCCCCGGGCATGCTCTTGATGATGTCCGAGTCACCTAAAGCACATAAACAAATAGTAAAAATCTGGCAAATTAACAAGTAGGACATTAAGTATCATCCACTGGTGTAATTCATCGAATGAACAAGATTAGTTTTTTGGTCAAACTAGCATACCAGGATCGATAATGCTGAGACAGCAAACACGGAAATATTTGCCACATGCAGTTCCAAGATCAACATTACCTGAAAAGTGTGAAATTAGGCAAAAACAACTAATAAATTAATCGATCATAGCAAGTGGCAATCCATGCACAAACAAATTAGGTAATTTGTTCAATCAGTGTCATGGAACCACAGGTGTTTTTCATATAATAACACAAATGGTCCAAACATACGACGACACATTAGGCAATATCTATTGAAGCTTTGATCGTTTCAAAAAACAACTTAACTCACACAAATAAAGAAAAAACAATCTACAAAACAAAAAGACAAAATTAACATGAATTTTCAATCCCAAAACTAGGACATAAATTTAAAAAAAGGGTCATGTAGAATACTTACTTCCACTAAAATGATGTACTCCAACCTTCGCCAACATTGCATAATACTCAATTTCAGACTTGCGAAGTGGAGGGCAGTTATTTGCAATCATAACCAACTTTGCTGTTAAAATACAATAAGATTTAGCAAGCTAAATATAAGAAAGCATAAATCATGTAATGGAAAGATTGCAAGAAGTGGAACAGTAGAGATCAGAGATCTAACACATGTAGTCTGCAATTTCTAAATTACAAAAATCACTGGATGTAGAAGCAACATCAACAAGCTAAAAAACTCAAATTAAAAACATTTCATAGTATTCAGCAAGCAAAAATAAATAGTATATGCATGAATAAATATAGAACAGAAGAATAAATTAATATTCATAATGATTTCCAAATGCAGGCTAACATTGTTAACAAGCCATACCAAGTGAACAAAGAATAATGCATATGATGTTACAGAACCACATTAAAATGAGTCAACTCCTAAATATAGCTTCAAGTACAATGCCAAGTGATAAATATAAAATACTTGCAAACAGCAAAGTACAGATGGAGATTACACAAAAGAGGCAAAAACAGAACTTCCCAATGCAACTTGGAATGGCCAAAACAATGAGCACTAATGAAGGTTAACTCATGAAAAAAAACTAAGTTTGGATTTACATGTTTCGGGTCATTTCATGCACAACCGTGAAACTGATGCAACAAAGAAGCATTAATAGCAAATCAACCATACATATTAATTACACATGGCATGATTTGAGATTAACCCCTTCTAATTTCTAGTGTTTAACAGAAAAAATAAATAGTGAAATTCCATTATCAGCTCAAAATATTTTTATATACAAAGGTCATAGACTTATCCAATAATATTTTATAAACACCCTATAATAAATATCATAAGATTCAGCGAGTACATCATTTCATGCACTTAAGTTCCACAGTAACCATCAATTAAATTAAGGGAATTAGAATTATAATTACTTTCAACGCATAAATGCATGTTCCTCATTACAAATATACGGAAAAATTATATCAAAATTAAAAGGTGAAACCTTTCAATTTAAAAAAAGAAATATTTGCCTTCTACGCATTCCCAAAGATAAGCAAATGATCTAACGGATACGCATAATAGGGAAGTCGGACAACTTGATATGGGAAGCAGTATTCATCTCTTAGGCACAACTAAACAGCCAAAGAGCCAAACTCCAGTTCCGTACCAAATCCACATCGACGAATACCTCAAGCTGCGATCTCCTCCAAATCAAATCATCGCACCAAAAATAAGAATAACACCAAAGGACGGGTTATCACCTTTAGAGCTCCGAAGGGACCTGAGGACAGTCTTGTAGCCGAGTGTGTACTTCCCGCTCTTCATCACGAGCGCGAGCCTGTTGTTGATGCTCTCAGTGCTCTTCTTCTGCGCCAATCGAAGAACCAAAACGCAGTGCAAGGAAATCAAGATCGATCCACGATCGAAGACAGAGGCAGTATAACAAGAAGAAGCGAAGAGAATGTACCGCCTTCTTGACAGGCGCCATTGCTGAAGGAGATCCGTGCGCAGACGTGCGCAGGCGTGCGCCGCTGGTGATGCGGAGGCGAAGGAACGATCTCCTCTCACGAACTGGCGGCCGCGAAGAAGCCAGCTAGGGTTCCTCAGCTGCCGATATATAGAAAAATCGGAATTCTAAATTTACTAAATTACCCTTCATGGTCATTGGAGAGCCCAAAAGTTGACCGTCCGTTCTCCCGTGATCAGCTTAACAACGGCAACGATTGTTTTAGAACTTTATAACATGTAAAGCGGGCAAATAAAGTCGGATTATAACAAGCCGTTATCAGACATCTCACCAATCTAGAGGAAATAATTAATGGCGTTGATCTTATATACATGACAATGTAATGGTTGATACTAGTGTTAAATTTGTAATAATCTTATTTTTACAATATACTAATTAAAATATAAAATATTATATTTATGACTCGAATCTTGATGTTGCAAACGAGCGACATTTGTAGGCCTCGCCCTCAATTGAAAGTTAAATACATGGTGCCACTACTTAACTCTGGATCAGATTTTTTTATTTGGCGTAACTCAATTTCAACTCAGACCTAATGGATTCCTAACTGAGTTAATAAAATTACTTTGTCATACAAGCTAATCACGTGAGTGACTGACCACGTGTGACTTGACACGCAGTCTTTTTAC